CCATGTGGCACGAGCTAGGAGTGTATTCACACAGACTCACAGTGATGGGCCCGATTTCCTCTGCAGCATAAGCTAGTTTATTAAGTGATAAGCACTGTTTCTTTGCAGATATCTAATCAGAAGGTACTTTTGTTACTTTGACTTATTTTTCTAATTTAATTAATGTAAACAAATGTATGATGATTGCTTTTATTTGCACATGTAAAATAAGTATTATTTTTATTGATTTCTTGTCTTGTGAACATTCTGTTAGTCTCCTTGACATTGATTATTGTTTTTTTAATATTTATTTTTTAGTTATAGGTGGACACAATGTCTTTATTTTGTATTTATGTGGTGCTGAGGATGGAACCCAGTGCCCCACGCATGCTAGGCGAGCCCTCTACCTCTGAGCCACAATCCCAGCCAATTGGTTATTGTTCATGTTCATCGTTCACTTTCATTTCTATTTTAGTTGACTGTTTTCTTTCACTTGGGATTATTTTCACTACAAATAACAGAAAACTTGAAGGGGTAATAAGGGGTTACTTTTGCTTATCAAACAGGATGTCTGAATAATATAATAATACAATATAATAATATATATGATAATACAATATAATATAATACAATACAATATAATATAATAATACAATATCATAATTCCATCAAAGATCCAGACTTTCTCTGTCTTTCCACTCCACTGTCTTTCAGCATGTAACTTTCTTCATGAGGTTTGCATGGTGGCTGCCAAACCTCTGGACATCACCTCTGTGTTCCAGCAGGGAGGACACTGTACAAAAAGATGTGCTAGTTAAGTCTATTCCTTTTCACCAGGAAATGAATAGCTTTTCTTGGAGTCAATCCAGTAGAAGCCTGTTTATATCTCACTGACCAGACCTACACCAAACAGCATGCCAGGGTGTAAGGGAAGTTGGGAAGGTGAACATTAAAAAAAAAATTCATATAGCATTCATTTAATCATATTCATTTAATTATTTTTATTTTTGCCATACTAGAAGTTGAACCCAGGGCCTCATGAATGCTAGGCAAGTACTCTACCACGGAGCTACATCCTTAGCCTTAATCATATTTAAACATTGACCAGGATCACACCCAAGTCATCCCGTATAAACCACATAGTAACCTCCCTTTAAAAATATTTTTGGTCTTTGTTTAAAATTTTAATTTTAATGCATATACTAACTAAATTTTACTATTTTTGTTGTACAGTTTTGAGTTTTATAAAGAAACATAGAAAAAGGTGGCTGTTTTTAACTGTGATTGCTGCTGCTCTCCCCCGTATTGCTTGAGAGTCCCATCATGGTAAGGGATGGTTATTTAACACAATAGGGGAGCCTGAGAAAGGAGAGAATCCTTATCCATTGCACCTAAGGGAGGCTTTGTGAGATGATATGGAATAAAGTTATAGAAAGATCCCTTTGAGTCCAGGGGCAGCTTGCATCTCGTGGCCATAATCGCGAGATTTCTTCCCGGCTTAAGACCCATCCCTTCTGGGCCTTTCCTCCTGGGCACTGATGAGACTTGGGTCCCAGCAGTGATGGTGGTAGTGGCTTTAATGAAACACTTGGTTTTGTTATTTTCATGGGTGGGAGGACCAAAATGGAGGGACAGATGGGCCAGCAGACAGCTGTTACGTATACATTTTCATTAATTATTCCCATTTCCAGTATGTCTGAGTGATAGATGATATGATAATGAATAGGTAATTCAAGTACTTGAATCATCAGTATCAAATGGACCATATTAATGAAAGGTTTGGCATGCTTCCACAATAAGAATAAATGATAATATCATTTCTAGCATTTATTGAATACCTAACACCAAATGCTTACCATACATTATCTCATTTAATCTTCACAACCACCTTGTGACCTGCCCTGAGGAATCATCTCTGGATTAGAGATAGGTGATTTGGGCTTAACACTCCAAGGTTGGTTTTACGCAGGATGTGTTGAAACATCATTCACATTTGTAGACTTGCTTAATTTTCATCTGTATTATCTGTTGTCAAAACAAAACAAAAACAACAAAACCCCACCCTTAAATAGCTAAATCAATACTTGCTTTTAAATTTACAATGTTAGTCATTTTTTTAACCTATCCTACCCTTCCTTGTGTGTATGTGCATTTGATTGCAGTGTGTTGTTTGTACAAGACAAGCACTCTGTCACCAGGCTACACCCAGCCACCCCCCTTTTTAAAAAAATTGAGCTTATTTGGATCTAACTTTAAAAAACAAGATACACAATAAAAGTATGAAAATAATACTGATACATTCTACTAAGACATCCCTCTAGTCTCTTCCACACTTTGGTTTTGTGTATATAATTTTCATATTAAATTAACTCATCTAAAATTTTTTCAGAAACATTACTTCACATAGATATTTCTATATAACTGTCACTAAAAGGAGTTCTATAGCTTGGATATTTTCACCCATTCTGGGTTTCAGTTTTTTTATTCCATAAAATGAGGCAGTTGGGCTATTAAATGATATCCCCCAATTTTCTACTTCTAATAGTCTGTGACAGTATCTACTATTGACAAGGGGAATAATAGAAACACAGCACAAATACACAGAAGTCTTCTCCTTTGGAGGACAAGTTTACTCCAAAACATGGAAGCTGCTTAATGGGCCATAACTTTCCTGTTGTTCATGAGTCAGCATGAAAAATGCCTCCAGAGAAGGCTAAGTAGGTCAGATTTATCTAAGAAGACAGCTGTGTAATCCTGTATCCCTCTGCAACCCCATGGCCCTGCAGATACATGCTTCTGGCTTTGTGAACAACAGTCAAATAGCATTACCCACTTTGTAAAGTTCATGAGACCGCAACTTGAAAAACTCAGGCTGGCCTTGAAAACCTTCAGTGGAGGAATAAATGAGAGATTTCAATACAGTCCGCAGCAATGTTACTCTTTTTTTCTCTGATACTGTGATACACATTAGTATGGGAAAGACTTTATTAGTAAATTTTAGTAAAATAATTGAAAAATCGGGAAAAATGTTTTGCATCATGACTTTTTATTGAAAAGTGTAATAAAATGTTAGGCTGCCAATGTTTGATTGTTTTCCCTTCTTAGTATGGTCATAAGACTTAAAAATTACATTTAGTAAATAAGAAGACTTATAAGAGAACTTGCATTTGGAAACAAACTTGAAGGTGCAGTTACTACCTCCTTTGGCTGTGCAAGTATTCTTTTTCTCCTTCCTTCTTTTTTACAGTACTGGTTATCAAACCCAGGGCCTCACACATGCTGGGCAAGCACTGGACCAACGTTTTACCCCCACCCCAGTGCAAATATTCTTGTCATTAGAGGGCCCTTTAATACAGTGGGGAGCCTTCAGAGTTAAAGGGCAAATACAAACCTGCAGAAGTGAAATGATACAGGAAAAACAAAACTAACAAACAAAAACACATACACTGGAATGGGACCAGAGAGCCTTACTAAGAAAGATGTCAGCAGAGAATGTAGAAAAAAAGTTATTAGGGATACTTGGAGGTGTTCAAGTTAGATAATTCAAAGTGACTTCCCCCCCCCCCCCACTGGGCAATTTCTGTTTATGCTCATCTCCTCAAATGTTAAGTTTGTTTGGAGTTACATCCAGAAAAGGTGTTAGCCTGGGTACACAGTACTGTATTTGGAAAGAGGATCCATAATTCATTTTGTTTTTCTCCACAGTCTGTCCTGCTATATGACCACTAGTTTTCCAAAGTCTAGACTGTAAGGCACCAGAAGCAATTAAATAGAGGATCAATGCAAGCAGACAGGTGTGCCCCATCACTTCCCCTCTTTAAACCATAGAGCTCATATTCTCTGAATTTCATATAAGCTACCCTGGAAACAGCAAATTAACTCCAAAGACATTCCATGTTACGCAAATCCATTTCTTAATAGGCCCTTGTTTGTGACATCACTGGCATAGATGCGATATTAAAAGATCTCAGATGTTAGACTCTTTGATCCATAGACATACTAAAGCCGGACTAGAAAATATATTTCCAAGTTTACTTATATTATCCTGTTAATGTTAGAAACAGGCAAGCTATGAAGTCGTCAACCTCAACCATGATTCTGAAGAGGATGAAAGAATTTTGCAATCTGATTCCCAAAGGGGATCTCTGCAGGGTCTTCGAAGCTCAAACTTCCCCACCTGTCACAACCTGGACAGTCTCCACGGACTGTGCCAGGCGCGCCACCGCCACGCGGCGCTGAGGTCGGCCTCTCGGGTCTTGGGAGAGCTCTTTTTATTCTAAATTACAGACTTTGCAGCCACCGGATATCCTCGCTGCACAACTGGCAGTAGCCATGTGGCTGCACTCGCGTTTCCTGACAACCACGGCATTATTTCCACTAATACCCTGTGTAGGGCGTCTCTCGCCGGGCGACTTCTCATTCCCACCGCCGCCGCCGCCGCCCCCTGCCCCGTGGCTACTCTCCCGACTGCTGCCCGTGTGCCGCCAACAAAGGGGAAACCACCCGAAAGTTCATGAGAACGCCCTGGGCCAAAGCGGGCCGG